CAGGAAAGAGTTAAAGGTTTCTGAGCTGCTCAGAGAATTCCGGGAGCTCCTGACTGAGGGAATTTTGGGATCAGATTTGGGGATTTTTTAGGATGAGCTCCTGGGTCTGAGGGGTTTGGGATCTCCTGCCCGAGGGATTTGGGAATTCTGGGGTCGGATTTTGGATTTTTAGGAGGACAGGAAAGGGTTAAAGGTGCCTGAGCTTCCCACAGAACTCCGGGAGCTCCTCCCAGCGGGATTTGGGAATTTTTCGGGGTCGGATTTCGGGATTTTTTAGGATGAGGGAAAAGTTCCTGGGGCTGAGGGGTTTGGGATCTCCTGCCCGAGGGATTTGGGAATTTCGGGATGGGATTTGGGGTTTTTAGGGAAGCGCTCCCCGCCTCCCTGCGAACGACAGGAAAAAAACAACTCCTTTTTCCAAGGATTTCCTGGAATTTTCAGCCAATGGGAGCGAGCCTGGAGGGAGGAGGAGGAGGAGGAGGAAGAAAAACAAATCCCAAAGTTTGGGGTTTTTTGGGATCACAAGAAAAAAAACCCCAAAAACCTTCGTGACCTTTTCACTTCCCGAAATTTCAACTTCCCGAAAATTTCGGCGGGATGAGAAAAATCCGGGATGAGAAAAATCCTGGATACGAAAATCCGGGACTACAGAAATCCGGGATACGAAAATCCGGGACTACAGAAATCCGGGATACGAAAATTCGGGATATAAAAAATCCGGGATGAGCAAAATCCTGGATACGAAAGTCCGGGACCACAAAAATCCGGGATACAAAAATCCGGGATATAAAAATTCAGGACGAGAAAAATCCGGGATGAGCAAAATCCGGGTCTAAAAAAATCTGGGATACAAAAATTCGGGATACAAAAATCCGGGATATGAAAATCCGGGATGAGGAAAAACCGGGACTACAAAAATCCGGGAGGAGCAAAAATCCGGGATGACAAAATCCGGGATATAAAAAATCCGGGATGACAAAATCCGGGATGAGCAAAATCCGGGATTATTTAAAAAAAAAACCTCAGGAAAAGGGAAGAGGAGGAGCAGGAATTTTGGGAATGGCGAGGATCGGGATTTTGTAATTCCGTGGGAGGTTGGGATTTGGGGCTCTGCCCCCGATGTGGGAGGGAAAAATGGGAGGGAAAAATTCCAGGCTCGGGAAGAGCGAGAATTCCCAGATTTCCGAGCGTGCCGGAGATTGTTCCAGCCGGGAATTCGCTCCCTGCCAGGTAAATCCATCAAAATCCTGGGAATTTGGGATTTTCCGGGTGGGTTTGGGGTGGTGTTGAGGGCGGGGTTGGTTTATTCCACAGGAAATTTGGGAATGGTTTCACTAAGGAGAAGCGTGGGAATTTCAGGGAGGAGTTTTTGGGATTTTTCCCATGAAAATCGCGCTTTTCCCCCCAAAAATTAGATGAATTATTATTACTATTATTATTATTATTATTATTATTATTATTATTATTATTATTATTACTATCATTACTATCATTACTATCATTACTATCATTACTATCATTACTATTATTACTATTACTAACATTATTAATATTATTATTAATATAATCATTAATATTATCATTAATATTAATATTAATATTAATAATATTTATATTTATATTTATATTTCTATTTCTATTTATTATTATTGTTATTATTATTTTTATTTTTATAATTTTAATTTTTATTATTTTTCTTCTTCTTCTTCTTATTTTATCTATTTTACTTTTATCTATTTAATTTAATTTCATTTCATTTCATTTTATTTCATTTTATTTTATTATTATTATTAATTGTTATTATTAATTGCTATTAATTGTTATTATTATTTTATCTTACTTTTTATTATAAAAATATATTTATATTTTTTATGGAATTTCTAAAAAATTAAATTAATTTTTTAATTATTGATTCATTTTTGTTTTTAATAAAAGTTGATTTTTTTTTTTTTTATTGCCGGTGTTAATTCCGGTTTTTATCCTTGGGGATTTTCCAGCGGGGAATTCCAGGGTGGATCAGAAAAGCTGGAAAAGAGTCTGGGAAGGGAGAGCAGGAATTTCAAAGGAAATAATTCAGTGAAAATCATTTTGTTAATAAAATATGAAATGAAATGAAATGTAATGAAATGAAATGAAATGAAAATATAAAATATAAAATATAAATGAAATAAATATAAAATATAAAATATAAAATAAATAAAATATAAATTAAATACATAGAATAGAATAAAAGTAAAATAAAATAACAAAAAATATAAAGTAAAAAAGAGAAATGAAATAAATGAAATAGAAAAAATGAAATGAAATGAAATGAAATGAAATGAAATGAAATGAAATGAAATGAAATGAAATGAAATGAAATGAAATGAAATGAAGTAAAATAAAATAAAATAAAATAATATAATTAAAATTAAAGAATATGGAATAAAAATAAAATGAAATAAAATAAAAATAAAATATTAATAAATTAAAATGTACTAAAATAACATATAAAATGAAATAAAATGAAATAAAGTAAAAATAAAATAAAATAAAGTGAAATAAATATAAAATAATGAAATAAAATAGTAAAATAAAATAAAAAAATCAAAATAAAGTAAAGTAAAATAAAGTAAAATAAAGTAAAATAAAATAAAATAAAATAAAAATGAAATAAAATAAAAATGAAAGGAAATGAAATGAAATGAAATGAAATGAAATGAAATGAAATAAAATAAAATAAAATAATTGAATTAATTAAAATCCAATTTCCCGCTCATTTAATGAACAAAACGGACCCAATTTAATCAATAAAATCCCAAACTCCCCCCAGGAATTCATTTAAATATTAATTATTAATAATTAATATCATCAATAACCTCAGCTCCCCAGGAGCTGATCCCAGGCAAAAAAACTTCCTGGAATTCCATGAAAAACCAGGATGGGAGGATCCAGAATTCCATGGAAAGCTGGGATTGGGGGCTCCGGAATTCCATGGAAAACTGGGATCGGGGGCTCAGGTTTTCGGGAAGAGGCCGAGGAAAAGCCGGGTTTAAATTCCCATCTCAGTTTTAGGCCTGGCTTAAAATTGAGGGAAAATCCCGGAATTCCTGGAATGTGTAGCCGCTCCATGGGATTCCTGCATTCCCAAAAGGCCAAAAAAAAATGGGAATATTTGACAATCCGGGTGGGATTACCCCAAAAATCCTGCCCTGAAGGGGTTTTGGATGGAAAAAAGGCAGGAATTCCAGAGGAATTTGGGGATAAAGGCGGGAATTTGGAGATTGGTGATTCCAGAGGGAGAGGATTTTTTGGGAATGGGAGCGGGAAAAAGCTGCAGGATTGGGAATGGCCAGGTCAGGATCCCTGGGATTCCCAGCTGGAATTCCCTTGGGAAAAGCTTTGGGCGGGAAAGCGCCCTGGGAATTTCTGCCTGGAATTGGGGGGGAATTTTCTCTGGGAATTTGTGGGAATTGTGGGAATTTCCTGTGGGAATTGTGGGAATTTTGTCAAGGAATTTCCTCTGGGAATTGCGGGGAATTCATCAGGAATTGGGGAGGATTTCCTTGGGGAATTTCCTCCAGGAATTTTTAGGAAAATTTGGAAAAATTTGAGAAAAAAAATTGGGAAAATTTGAGAAAAAAATCTGGGAAATTTGGAGAAAATTTGGGAAAAAACTCTGGGAAAAATTTGAGAAAATTTGAGAAAAATCAGGAAAATTTGAGAAAAATCAGGAAAATCTGAGAAAATTTGGGAAAATCTGAGAAAATTTGGGAAAAAACTCTGGGAAAAATTTGAGAAAAATTGAAAAAATCGGGAAAAATTGAGAAAAAAATTTTGGAAAATTTGAGAAAAAAATCGGGAAAATTTGGGAAAAAACCTGGGAAAAATTTAAGAAAATTTGAGAAAAATGGGGAAAATTTGGGGAAATCTGGGAATCTTGAGCTTAGTTGTGTCCAGTTGAGCCATTCCCTTTCATCCCTTTCCCAACTTTTCCCGAGGATTTTTGGGATGGGCCCAGCTGGGATCGCCGCTGAGGGCGGGGAATCGATCCAAGGAAAATCAAAACCCTTGGACTGGATCCCAGGGATTCCATTCCCAGGAATTCCGGTCATTCCCGGTGTTTTCCAGGCCATGTCCGTGCCGGGAATTCTGGGATCGCTGCTCCAAGAGGAGGAAAAATTTTCCTCGTGCCTGGCCCGGCTCGACGCCCTCATCCTCAAACCTCTGCTCCAGGCAGGTAAATCCAGGGAATTTTGATCTGGAATTCCCACTGGGAAATGTTTTTTGGGAATGTTTTCTCTAAAATCGGGAAGCCCGAGCTCGGGGTTGTGTTTTTTTGGGATGGATCCGTGGAGAATTCATCCATAAATCCCTAAAATTTGGCTCCTCCTCTTTCCCTGCTCCCGTTCCAGGCTGATCCCGGATGGGAAAATTCCTGGGAATGGAATCCAGGGAATCCAAACAGCTCTGAAATCCAGGGAAATTCCTGGAGCCATTCCAGGAATTCCCTTGGGGATGATTCCAAGGAAACTGGGAAATTCCTTGGGAAAAAGACGGGAATTTTCCCTCCAGAGCACTGGGATGAGCTCCTGGAGAGTTTGGGATGGATTTTATCCCATTCCAGCAAAACCAACTCCAGGAACAGGGGAAATTCCTGGACTTTTCCCCTTTTTCAAATCCATTTTCCCATTTTTTTTTGGCTCCCCATTTCCCTAAATCATGGAATTTCTTCCTTGGAATTTCCCCTTTTCCCTTTTGTTTTTATCAGAGGCCACATTCCATGAATTTTTTTGGGAATCACAGCATTCCCACTGCATTTTTCCTGATTTTTTTCCCCACCCAGAACCCAACGATCCGAAGGAGAAGGAGAATTTCCAGCTCTTGGTGCTGCTCAACGATCGCTTCCAAGCCCTCTGGAATTTCACGGAGGAGAATTCCCGGATCCTGAGGGGCTCCGATTCCGGCTGTATCCAGGATTTTTACATCCTCTGGAAAGGAGATCTCTTCCTCAGCCTCTCCATCCAGTGAGAGCCGGAATTATTTATTACTGTTATTATTATTATTATTATTATTATTATTATTAGTAGTAGTAGTAGTAGTAGTAGTAGTAGTAGTAGTAGTAGTAGTAGTAGTAGTAGTATTAGTATTATTATCATTATCATTATCATTATCATTATCATTATTATTTATTATTACTATTATCATTATTATTATAAATACTATTATTTTTATTATTATTTTTATTCTATTTTATTATTTATATTATTATAATTTATTTATTATTTATTATATATTA